TCCATCGCAAGAAGTACAAATCAAGTTATTATTTCTATCTGTGTATACATCAATAATTCCATTCGTCACGTTGTGTATATTTGGATATGTTGGCACAACTGAAATAACAGAACAGGGTATTTATTATACTGTAACATCAATTACTAATGAAGCTTGTAGTGCTAATACGCAATAATGTTTACATGGCTAGTCATATGGTGACTCCCAATGTTATAACACCGAACCGTTTGACCATCGGTGTTTTTAACCTTGGAGGTTGAAAATATTTTTATATTTACATTAAAATTCCGGATTAAATTCCTTGGCATAGCAAAGCCATCAAATTACCCTTAAGGATTAAAGAGAACATTCCCATTGAGTAACCTATGTGCAAATACATGCACTCACGAGAGAAATGTTTTTTTAAAAACTACTTCTTTAATATTCACTAATATTAACTTAGAATAAGAATGTATAATAAATTTACTTACCATTGACTGTTAAAACGGCGGTGTTCGAAAATTTGGTTGTTGCACAATCAGAAATTAGACAATAATACGAATCTACATCTTCTAGAGAAGTGCTTTGTATGTTGAGATTATAATTTCCGACGATTCCTGTGCCCATTGAATATCTTGGAAAAACTGTTTACAAAAGTTGTTACAAAATATATTTTATTTTGCAAAAATTTCGTATCGTACAGAATAACATCTATTAAGTTGTACACACATATACAGATGTGGATTTCTTGTGAGATTCAAATTCTATGGTTGTGATTTCAATGCGAAAAGTCTCCAATATGCGCATAACAAATTTGTTCAGAGCCGAACTGTTGGCTAATATTGGGAATTCATAACATTCATGATTAATAATAACCGGTGTCAACTTATTTTTGAGATACTGATATAGTAAGATAATGTTCTTATCATACACTTTACATTTGGATTAAGTTATTTTTAAAGTAGATACCTAATTAAAAAATTCTGCGGGATGTACTCAAACATTACTGGTTGCTAAAAGTAATCATAATTCACCTGGAATATCGGGATCCACCCCAAGAGGAATGCCCCCCTTAATCCATTGAACTTCTTCTCCCAATGTCTCGGACACTGTACACCGGAGACTAATGTCTGTATTTGATAAAACTGTCTTTGTGGCAGGTCCCTCTATATTCACGCAACTGCAATCATCTTCGGTGTTAATAGCATTGCAGGTAAAATTTGCACCTGGTAAATTCAAATTAACATTATAATAAAATTATCCGATTCAAGCATTTTCTTTTTGTGCTGTAGGACTTCTAGTGTTTGTCAAACCACTGACTGCTGCGTGAATCTTAACTACTCAGTGCGGGTGATCAACTTTGATTAAAAGTTTTGACATTGCTGTTACAAAGAATAACAATGAATCGTGTAACTGTAATTTGTGTATTTTGCTCTATGATTATAAATGACAACCGCAAAACGGCTCTGTGTGGTAACATAACTTTGTCGAACGCTATCTACTGAGATCTATGATGTGAAGACAAAAACGGTAAGCAGTATAGCGCTGTCGGTGGTTTATCCGTAGAAGTCGATGTCGAAGACTATAGCGACTATGTTTGAGGAAATATACGAGTAATAGGACAAAATTATGTGATGATAAGTTATTAAAAACTTACCTGCCCTTTCCCATAGATTACAGACAAAAGCCGCCAATGTTAAGTATCGTCTGAACATTATTTCATTTATAAAACAGTAATGACGCTTATGACTTGTGTTATACCCAATATATATACTCTATATATCTAAATGTGTCTGCAACCGCGTGCAAATTTCAAGTAACAAGCGGTTAGGTAATGAATACCGTGGCTTCCTAAACAAAAATAATACATAATGTCACAGATTGGTAAATATTTTGCCTTTTCTAGTGACTCTTTTTTTGAAATCACTCAACGCATCTAAAAATTAGTTTCACATCGTGACTTTAAAACTTCAGTTTCCACATTTAAGTATATATTTTATACCGCCCTGCACAATGGGGAATAGCGATTCTCGAGTTCAACTAGACCAGTGGTCGGCAACCACCGGGCCGCGGCCCATCGCCGGTCCGCGGAAAGGTTACTACCGGTCCACAGAAAGATGACATAAAAACGGACAAGGACCTAATAACACCTCTACAATCTGACCACATACCCTACGACTAAAAAACAGCATCAGACAAACACAACGCATTAGTTATTGCTAAACGAACATCTCGCAATACCCAGATATAGATACAAAAGCTGTACAGGCATTGTTAGCTTTCACAACATCGTATTTATTTAAGGTCGGGTTTTCAATTGGAAAATTGAAAATTGGGAACTGTCCATTGCCAGCAAACAAATGTAGATCTCGCATTGTTTTTGAATATATTGCCAACGTAAATTTTCAAACGCTTGCATTTTTTTGCATAAGCTTATATAGTTCATTTGTATAAAGGTGGTCCGCCAAAATTTTGATCAGGATTCATCGGTCCGTCACTTAGAAAAGGTTGCCGACCACTGAACTAGACTACAGGAGTTTGTAGGTTTAGACTTAAGACTGACTGCCCCTTCATGACAGTATACTGACTCAAATAACTACTAACTTACAGTGGCTAGAATATGCCAGAGTGTGACAATCCATACTAGAAACAGTATTGCTTATATAAGATTTGACCCATCTGGAGCGAAGTTTTACAATTTCAAATAAAGCTAAAACAAGACAACAGTAACACACAATCTCTGCCACATAATGTTTCAATGAGACCTCGCCCACATAATAGTGTAACAATCCATTGACGTGAAGAATTGAATACACGAACAATATTTGTCAAAGAACGTTAAATTAAACATTTAGTGTTAATCATTAACTTAACGCTCCTTTCTACGTTATAACGTCATGGGAAATCTTGGTATCACGGAGGTATTACAAAGCATGGTCAATCTTGGACTAGTCAACGACGAATCACCAATTAAGACATTTTGAATTACAATATTGATGGCCTTTTATTCTGTATTTTTGTGTGTTTATGTTTGGTGTGTTTACTTTTTAAAATTCGTTGAAATAATGGAGTGAAGAATCCAAAACCCTGTCCAACATTCAACATTTGATAATGTATCTGAATAGTATTAGACGAATTAATTACAGACCATTTACATTTAGTTAATTAAAGGATGGGTATAATGAATCTCACAAGCTTCAGTTTGAATCTAGAATATGAACATATCCGTACATAACACACGACAGGTATGTTAACCTTTGCTATCGAATCATGCTACTTGAGCAAAGTTTTCTAAATGGAATTTTAATACTGGCCCTTTCTCATAACAAGACTTTGGCACACAAACTTATACAATGGTTATTATACCTCCTGATTCGCTGTATGTCATGTAATGAACATTATTGTCTGGTATTTTTTCTTATCTGGACTGTTGAGCGACTGCAATTAGGTCAAAATGCTCTGCCCTCTGATGGTTTGGACCAACTGTCCTCTCGTAGAGTTGATATGCTATGAATCTCTAATTCATCCAACAAATCGACACGAGACCCACGCTTTGATCGTTTAAGAATGACGATACAGGAAATATGTCTTCTTCTGGTAGTTCCGCATCTCCGATATATTCATCATCTATTGATGTCGTAAATTCTGAAGATTCCGAAGAGAATGGTGGAAGACTAGTTCTTCCCGGGCACTACTATGAAATGCATTAAAAATGTATTATTTTTCGAAAGCTTCAACATCATCAAAAATAATTTAATAAAAAAATGCTTTTTTTTTAAGTTTTTTTAAGCGCCTATTCAAAAAATATTGAAGATGTAACACCACCAATAGCAGTGCTGTCCATTGCCTTGCGGACACAGGCATAACAAAAATTTAAGTTTACTCAAGGTACGTCGTTGTTTACGTCAAGTTGACGTAGGGGACATGGGGCGAATTTGAATGAAATATTGAATAAAATTGAATATACAATTTTACTGATGCATCATAGATTCAATCTAATTCGAACCATCCGAAAGCTATCTTTAACCCATATCGACGTTCAGGATCAGAAGATGTTCTCGGCTTTTAGGGTTCAAAGAGTTTCTTGATAAGCATCTTCATCTTCCAGCTGTACGTTTGTTATTGTGAGAGCATAGTTTCCAGATAGACTGTTACCAGTGTTGGCATGCATTGAATATCGTTGGTATCCTGATCGATAGGCATGATTTTTAAAAATAAACAAGAAAAGATTAACAAAATTTCCAATTGTAAAATATAAGAGTACCGAGAGAGCAAATCGTCCTTTTGTCCATTGTACTTCACCAATCACCCCGTCATATTAGAGTCACAGCGTTTTTAAAAACCGTGCTGGTATTCATTAGATTCGACGAAACTTAGTAAATTAGGTTTTTTCTTGTTTCAGTCTATGTCAATTTTTGAAGAAGAGACTGCGTTTAAGTATTGAAAACATATCATTAAACTGAAAAAGAACATTTGCCATTGTTTCATTTATTAAAGTTGAAAATAGTGGATCTTCACGTATCAGTAAGGGGTTGTCAGGGAATTTTTTCTGAGAAAAACGTAAAATGACGTTTATAAAACTATAATAAAATGTGAGGAGGATTGGGATATGCTTGGATTAGTTATTATGCCCAAGCTGGTGATGAATAACTAGAATCCCCTTAGTAAGCCTGAACTGGACATGGGTGTTAAGTTTAGTGCTCATATTATCCATCCTTGCTTCTTGAGTATATCTCAATAGAAGATACTTTATTACGTTATATCCAGCATTTATTTAGCATTTAGCGGAGTGCCGTTATCGTGATTTGTCGAAACCATCGATGAGGTACAGTTTCTTAGCTTTCAAGTAAGGATTTTCTCGTGTGGCTGAATGATCTGTTCTATACGATCCGGTCGAATTCACAAATTGTATACTCGTATGTCAATAAGTTTAATACATACATAAGGGAAAAAGAAAAATAGATGGCGACAATACAACTTTTTTCATAAATTATTAAATAAAAAACTGTGCCATGGACTTGAAACTAAAACATGTACACCAATGACAATGAAATAAAATTAAGGACAGGTTAGGTAACTGTATCAACTTCAAATTAATTTCATAATATTGTTTTCTAATAAATGATAGATTGAATGATAACGTATCGCCGAATTGCGTTTCATTAAACATTCTTCGCATTCAATGCTCATGATAAATATAATGTGAATCAGTAGCTGCCAGAATTCGTCTGATTGTAAATATTTTTCTTTATTTTTTGCATGTATTTTTGATGCACATTTTCAAACGTATGTCGACAACATACTCATTTGATTGTCCCGAGTGTAATATATTGGTGTTGATGATGATGTCATTGGCAACGTAGTCTGAATATAACTTTCCTGCGAGAAAGTGTTTCTTGCATGCAAATCTCTGTATATCATCACTGGATAACCTCTTGCTGAGCGGATCGAAGACGCCATCGAATACGTTTGGTCATTTGGTGGTCCTATACTGTCTTGGTATGATTCATAATTAGTTTCGGAAGAAGTTTCAGGTTTAAATGCATTGTTGTCTAATGCTAAACTATATTCTTGTTGATCTGAATAATCGCAATATAAAAAATGAACAGGTATTAAAAAAACATATTACTAAAGATCAGATGTCATCCTTGTTAGTTTTATGAATTTAATTTAAATAAAACCAAAATTGATATTTCATAGAAATGTAATACCTGATCTAATAGCTGGGTTGTTGAGTAGAATATCAGCTTGAATTGGCATTGGTCAAAATATTTATTTTTTTAATTTGAAGAATTGTAAAATCTGCATTGTTTTAGTGCAGTCTTTTTTGTTCCGCGCACGATACACGGATAATTTGTAATAATCAAAGCAAAAAAAAACTCGTACCAATGTATTCATATACATTCTCTATATATGTGTATTCATACTCCGGATTGACTGCTCTTACTGTTACTGCCTCTTGTACTTCTGTTTCTCTTCGCCTATCTTCTTCTATCTGGTCCAATCTTGCCTAGATAAATATTACTTGGTTTAAGTTTTTACCCAAGGAGTTAGATATTGACAAAGTAGACCTTAGGATCGTTTGGATAACCTGTTGTTGTTGTTCTTGTCGTTGTTGGGAATGGAATAAATCCCTACAACCAAGGGAATAATACGCGCTTGTCTGCTACTTACACAGCAGAAGTATCACATTCCCATATATTTAAGCATTGCCCTCTTGTTATTTCATAAAATTGGTCTGCGTTTTCACAGCAATTTTACAAAAAGAAACTGAAATTCAATGAATTATGGAGTATTTGAACAGAAACTACTTTTCATGCGTATGTTTTTTCTAGCCTTCTATGCAAAAGATATAATAAACGAAGTTGTCAACAATTTAACCTGTGCTTCTCGTTCTCGAGCTCTTCGCTTATCTCTCTTCTCATTTTTATTTGATGTCAATATACAGAATATTAACGATATTAGTAGAAGTAGAAGAAATATTCCCCCTATCGATGGGCCTATTATAGCAGCATATGGAAAATCTGAAAAAAAAAATAAAATATTAAAAATGGTTAATAATTCAAGGATCTCAATGCATACTAAACAAGAAACTGATATATAGACCTGAAGTTCGAGAATCGGTACGGAAACGCCTGGAATCACCGAGTTTGATGAAAATATCGATGGCAGGAAATACCGAAACGTACGAGCATTATGAAAGAAAAAGTGCTTTTTTTAAATAGAATAAAACAGCCAAATTTAAGTAATAGCCTTCTAGCGACGAATTCTTCCAGCACATTGAAATACTGAAAATCGTAAATGAAATGGTCCATTACAAATTTTTTGCCCAAAGTAAATATTGAATAACTTAGAATAGTAATCTCCACTCTTGCCATTGTCAGTATACACCTACAGATCCCCCGGCGCAAAGTCACAAACGTTCATATCAGTCTTACGGAACCATATCGACAGCAGATCTCGTGCTTGGTAAGAGTGGAAACTTTTTTAATGGGAAATGGTAGATTGTGGGACATTAACTATGGTGATACAGAAGTGACTCGCATCAGTTGGTATTTCAATTCACGTTGAAACTGAATCAAGAAGAATGAATCATCGTCACGGGACCCGGAAACGCTATAACAATCCTTGTACCGTTACCCCGATACTGGTAACTTACCGCATATGATTTTGGGAAGTATTTTATGGGGAATGGTAGACTGCGGTACCTGATCTAGTAATACAGAAGTGACTCAGATTTTTCGGTATTTTAACGGTAAGTTACCTCATATGATTTTCGGGGAATTGGTGAACACGATTTCGAAAGTAAATTCATGGCCATCACAAATCTGTAATTATTTATAACCCAAAATATGGACTTTTTTCCATAATACAACAAATTCAAATTTATGAAGCGTTATATGGCGTAGCAAATCTGTGTTTAAATTTTATTAGTTACTTACAATAAACGCTCACTGTGAACTTTATAGAATCTGAATAAGATTTTGGGTTTCCGGGAATATAAATATTGCAAGAATATTGACTTCCATCAGTATCAGCATTTGCAGTGATTGAAATTGAGACGTGAATGTCATATGTTCCTTTGGCATTCAATATGCCTGATTCATTCTTTAACGGTACATTTCCTTAAATACATGTATATATTTAGTTATCCGACAAAACACATCATAAATTATATTAAATATTTTTGTTCTACGGGTTTTAGCAAGTATTGAGATTCAGTTTTAATAAAGTTTCTCAAACTGGGTCCAATGGGTTGTGGTAGCCACAGGCAAGGGCTTTTACACAATATCAGTTTCAATGGTAACAGTGCGAGGAAACTTTTTTTAGTTTAATTCTTTGACCGTTTTGCATTTATTCTTATACTTTGATTCGTTGGTCTTTTGTTAATAAACGTTTGGAATAGAATAAACCAATTGTGGATATTCGGAGGAAATGATTATTTTTTATCTTTAACATACAGTTCGCAGTGGGCAATAAGGGGATGGAGACATAACTTTGTTCATCGATAAAATGACTAATATTCGACTAGACTGTTGTAAAATAAATAAATTAAAACATCAAAATAAGTTACAACCTCGATACCAAGCAAGCGTGGCTGTTGGTCCAGTGTCGAGTGCCAAACAAGTTAATTCCTGACTTTTTCCGTTGCCAATAACTAAACTGCTTGAAGTTATTCCGGTTACAGAATATTTGCTCGGTATAACTGAAATATAATAATTGAACGCATTTATTAACAAGAATAATTCGCTTCGTATAACAAAAATTTTCGAAATAACACGTTGTTTCGTTTGACCGTCTTAATATAATACGGAACATCCAAATTTGTATTCGCCATGTGCCTTCTCGACACGCTAAAACGAAATGTACAATTTCATCTGATTGTGTAAGATTCGACAAAAAAGCTCATAGGCAATGTGTTAAATAAATATGCGTGTTATTTCTATTCAGTGTCCAGTAGTCCACCGTATTAATAGAAGCTTATTAATATACGATCTGTCCTTGATGAAATGTCTTTCTATAGAAGCATTCAATCGGACAGCAAACAGTAAAACTGGTTTGTATGATGCAAGATACAAACTTTGACATTCGATAATCGAGTTGCCTCTCTGCCTGCTTGCCCAAAATCGAACGCTCTTAAAAACTGATCATCAATTACCGCGACAGCAACAGGAGAAAGGTTGAAACAGAGAACATATATACGCTACAGCGATTACACCTACACGAATAATTAATCCTGAGACATCGTAACTGAAATCAAGTAGCCTAAATAAAACAAACATATATTTACCCAAAACATTAAGTTTGACATATTTCCTGTATGATGAACCGGTTTCCATGGAAACTGCATCGCTGTTGACATCACAAAAATACTCCGTTGCATTGTCAGCAACTGTTGGTGTGATTGAGAAAGTCGCTTCCATACCACTGAGTTCATTGCTTGAGCCCACAATAGTTGTTGTAGAAGTGGTCACCAGATCTCCATTTTTGTTATTGAACCATCTTACATTAGGCTGAGGTTTTCCATTGTATGAAGTACAAATCAAGTTATTACTTCTACCTGAGTATACATCAATAATTCCATTATCTTCCTCATCTATATATGGGTACGTTGGTACAACTGAAATAACAGAACACACTATTTATTTTACTTAAAAAATAAATTAATAATAAAGCTTGTACTGCTAAGACTTAATAATGTTAACATGGCTAGTCTCGGTGACTCCCAATGAACCGTTTGACCAAAAGTGTTTTTTAACCTCGGAGGTTGAAAATATTTTTTTGTATTTACATGAAAATTCCGGATTAAATTCCTTGGCATAGCAAAGCCATCCAATTACCCTTATGGATTAAAGAGAACATTCCCATTGAGTGACCTGTGTGCAAATACATTCACTCACGAGAGCAATGCTCTTTGAAAAACTACTTCTTTAATAATCACTAATGTTAACTTAGAACAAGGTTGTATAATAAATTTACTTACTGTTGACAGTTAAAAAGGCGGTGTTCGAAAATTTGATTGTTGCACAATCAGAAACTAGACAATAATACGAATCTTCGTCTTCTAGAGAAGTGCTTTGTATGTTGAGATTATAATTTCCGCCGATTCCTGTGCCCATTGAATATCTTGGGAAAACTGTTTACAAAAGTTGTTACAAATCTATTAGGTTGTACACACATATACGGATGTGGATTTCCTGTGAGATTCAAATGCTATGGTTGTGATTTCAATGCGAAAAGTCTCAAATATGCCGCATAACAAATTTATTCAGAGATGAACTGCTGGCTAATATTGAGAATTCACAACATTTATGAATAATGATAATCGGTGTCAACTTATTTATGAGATACGGATGAGGTGAGATAATGTTCTTATCATACACTTTACATTTGGATTAAGTTATTTTTAAAGTGGATAACTAATTAAAAAATTCTGCGGGATAATGGGGATATACTTAAACATTTCTGGTTGCTAAAAGTAATCATAACTCACTTGGGATAGTGGGATCTACCCCAATAGGTATGCCCCCCTTCACCCATTGCACTTCTTCTCCTGTTGTGTCGGACACTGTACACCTGAGACTAATGTCTGTATTGGATAAAACTGTCTCTGTGGCAGGTTCCTCTATATTTACGCAACTGCAATCATCTTCGGTGTTAGCATTGCAGGTGAAATTTGCATCTGGTAAATTCAAATTAACATTATAATAAATGAAATTCGCACCTGTTAAAATATAATTAGCATTATGATAAAATAATCCGATTTGAGTCTTTCCTATGAAATCATGGATATTACCATAGTCAAAAACACGGCCACGAAAAAGTGTTTAGTATAGGAATATATAAATTTACAAGTTTACAAATCCTTACCAGATCACATGTTGTTAATACTTAAATTAGTGATTTTCAAACGGTGTCTGGAGAAGCAATGGTGTCCCGTTCGGGTGTTTTGCGTCAAATTGCTGTTTCACAATTTTTTAAATACTGTTATATTTTTTGAAGGCAAATTTATCAAAAAATATATATAAATTCATCAAATGACCACGTATTTGGTTTTTGGATGAGTCTATTTCGGAATTTAATAGTTGCTGGTGGTGAACTAGCGTCCTTGTAAAATATATTTCAAAGTAAGCGCAATGATCAGTATTACACAATTAAAGTTGTTTTTACACAATTGTCAGTTATTTTTTTGACTCGAGTCAACAAGCTATTGTATTATTTTTGCTTTTTCCATTCTATGCCAATACTGATCGATGTAATTAATAATTATTTAATCTTTTGCCCAAAAAATCTAAAACTAAGAATTTGTGTTCCGCACACTATTGAAAGTGTTTCTCGGATTGAAAAGGTTGGAAACCACTGCACTACAGCATCATAAATTTGTATTGTTTTACTATGTGATTCAAATAAAAACTTGTAAATCGGTTTCTGTGACTAGGTGGAATTGATTTATTGCAGTAAAGTGTGAACAGCTATCTACTGCTATGTATATAGTGAAGATAAAATCATAGGCAACTTATATCTGATCCCAGCGCTGTCCGTGGAAGCTTGAGTACCTCGAATATGTGCTCTTTACAGTTTTGGTCGAAGACTCACGACCGTGTTTGACCGAATATATTATATATCTATAACATCATATAACAATTGTCTTAAACCAGCAAGGACGATTCAAAAAAGAATTAATAAAGTTATGAAAACTTACCTGCCCATCTGTATAAATTACAGGTAAAAACCGCCAGTGTTAAATATCGTCTGAACATGATCCGAACTTCTATTTAAATATATATGCTACATATACGTAATTATTCCGCCATTTTCAAGTGATTCTTTTCTTGAAATTATTTGCAACTAAAACGCAGAAAATAATGTCATTTTACACAATGGCTGAAATCTTATTTCCACATCACCTTCGTCATATTAAATAGCTACCCCCGTCAGGAAGTTGTTGGGTAAGTACCCCCTGACTGATCGCGACTTCATGTTCGACTTCTAACTCAAATTACCTTCAATATTACCGACATACTTTAAACAATATTGTCTGATATTATATTCGACCGATGTGAAGGTAGTTACAATTCAAACTGGGCTAAAACAATAGCATATATGTGTATATCACACACTATTTGTGAAATGCCTCGCCAATCCTGACTTGATTATAAGAACACTTGAATTATATATATATAGGAACAATATTTGTCAAAGACTGGTAAAACAAACATTTAGCATTAATCGTTAACTCGAAGATCCTTATCTCTGTCCCAGCCATATATCCAATCTCCTAGACTTATTGTCAAGTTAAACACATTTGCGAATTAAACATTGCTGACTGTTTTAGTGTTCAGCGCCTTTGTTTGTGTCATTTTATAAATTTCATTTTTTTGAAGCAATGGCGGATTAATTACCGAACATTTATATTTACTTGATGGGCATACGTTGTTAATGGCTGAAGTTTGACTTTGACCCTAGAATTTAAACATATTCTCAAGATCCTCGACGCACAGCAAATATGTTTACTTATGTGTAGCGCCATCCACCCATGCTTCTTAAACAAAGACTTCTAAAATAGAATTTGAAATTCTATCCCTTTCTAATAACAAGTTCGTGGACTTTGACACGTAAAACTATACAATAGTTATCATTCCTTCTGATTGGCTTTGCATCAGATATTTTGAAAATGGGCTATTTTCTGGTGGTCTGACCCAACTGTCCCCTCGAGGAGTTGATATGCTAAGAATCTCTATTTCATCCAACAGATCGACAGGAGACTCACGCTCTGATCGTTGCAAGTATGACGATTTAGGAAATATGTCTCCTCCTGGTAGTTCTGTTTCCTCGATGTCTTCATCATCCATTGACGTTGTAGAGTAGATCATTCAGACATACGGAAAAATCTATACGTAAAAGCTATGAAATTGTACCTCATCGATGGTTTCGACAAATCACGATACCGGCACTCCGCTGAATGCTAAACGGATGCTAGGTTCAGCAGCGCGTATCTTCCATTAAAACTCAAGCAACCAAAGACACCAGTTTTCAACTTTCGATGAAAAAAGAAAGCGATCTAAATCTCCTATTGCATGATATTTTGAAGTTCGTTTCTGATTTCATCATACTATAAGGTTTATTTGTTTGATGAGTTAAAAGAATAAAATTGGAAAATGATCGAAACAAAAAACATTGTTCTATTCAAGATCCGTTCAGAATCATGGACAGCGTTTCAAGGCAACGCATTTCATTTTCGTGAATTGAGTCAATAAGTGAATTTGCTAGATTGTGGCCAACTGATCTCACTTAAATTAGGTAGGAAAAAAAAAAAGTGCATTGAATATATTTAAATGGCCTGTCCACCTCTATTTTATTTAATTTTCCCCATACCGTCTGGGTCTATTCATGATGACGGAAGACCTATGCCCGGAAAGCAAGGAACGGCACTGCCATTGGCAGTGTTACATCGTAAATATTTTAGAATAAATGCGACTCAAAAACTTTTTGTTAGTAAATTAGTCTTGATGATGTTAAAACTTTTGAAAAATAATATTGTTTACTGCAATTTCATATTTAGGTGCAATCGATATAGCGTACGATGACATTGAAACAGTCGACTCAGGAAGCACTAGTCTTCCTTCATTCTCCTCAGAATCCTCGGAATCTTCGTCTACATTCTATTCTTTACGATCTGGCCGAATTCACAAATTGTGTACTCGTATAAATCCAAGACTACCATAATAGGGTCGAGACAGCGGGCAAAATGTCACACAAGTTTAATACATACATAAGTGAAAAAGAAAAATAGATGCCGACAATACAATTATTTTTATAACATTGAATGAAAAATTGTGCCATGGACTTCGATGAAAAAATTTGAAATTGAAACATGAACACCAATGACAATGAAAGAAAATGAAGTACAGGTTAGGTATACTGTATCAACTTCAGATTAATTTCATAAGATTGTTTTCTGATAAATAATAGATTGAATGATAACTTTTCGCCAAATTGCCATTCATTAAACATTCTTTGCATTCAATGCTCATGGTGAATATAAACTGAATTGGTAGTTGCCATAATTCGTCTAAGTGTAAATATTTTTCCTTCATTTTTTGCATGTATTTTCGATGCACATTTTCAAACGTCTGTCGACAACATACTCATTTGGTTGTCCCGAGTGTAATATATTGGTGTTGATGATGATGTCATTGGCAACGTAGTCTGAATATAACTTTCCTGCGAGAAAGTGTTTCTTGCATGCAAATCACTGTATATCATCACTGGATAACCTCTTGCTGAGCGAATCGAAGACGCCATCGAATACGTTTGGTTATTTGGTGGTCCTATACTGTCTTGGTATGGTTCATAATTAGTTTCGGAAGAAGTTTCAGGTTTGAATGCATTGTTGTCTAATGCTAATCTATATTCTTGTTGATCTGAATAATCGCAACATCAAAAATGAACAGGTATTAAAAAACATATTACTAAAGATTAGATGTCAGTTTTATGAATTTAATTTAAATAAAATCAAAATTGATATTTCATAGAAATGTAATACCTGATCTAATAGCTGGGTTGTTGAGTAGAATATCAGCTTGAATTGGCATTGGTCAAAATAATTATTTTTTTAAT